TTTGTCTTCTCCAGATGTTAACTGATGGACTGGAGTGCTGTGGATTACTTGTGGATTATTGTGATGTTTTTATCAGCTGTTTGGACTCTCATTCTGACGGCACCCATTCACTGCAGAGCATCCGTTGCTGTGAATGGATTTTTTATTCCTCTAACGTAACTGTCACGGTTTATGGGTTCACTGACTCATTCTCGCTCTGTGTGTATGTGTGTGTGAGTGGGTGTGTCGGTGAGTGCTGCTGACTGGTTGATCAGCGCCAGTTGTAGCTCATCAGCTCAGCTATTTAATACCTGTGCAATCTGTCCTGTGTTGTCAGATCGTTTGGTGTTCCCGCTGTGTTCGAGTTCCCTGTTCCTGTTCTTCGTCTCATTGGATTTCGGTTCCAGTTTTCTCCTACGGATTGTATGTTCCCGGGATATCCACGGCTGCCCATTTGCGTCCCTGCGCTACCAAGAGTGACTATATCCTGCACATGCTTTATTTGACTCTTGCCTTTTGTCTGGTTGGGACTCTTCTAAATAAATTGTTATATTTCACATTCGCTACTGAATCCTCCTTTGTATTCGTGACAGAACGATCTGACCAACCTATGGATTCAGCGAATGCATCGGATCTACGGGACTTTTTGTCCAACAACAACGCACGCATGGATCATCGGGAGGAACAGATGTTAGCAACGGGTCGAGCTGTTCAAGCCTTGGTAGCGCAGGTGTCCGACCTCACTACCCAATTCCAACAACTGAGATCGCCTACTGCGCCGCCCCCGCTGCCAGTTCTCCCCACTTCTAGAAGCACCAAACATCAACACGAGCTGCGTCTACCCACACCAGAAGCGTATGCTGGTGAGCCCAATCTTTGTAGAGCATTTTTAACTAAATGCTCAATGTTCTTTTCTCTGCAACCTTTGACTTTTTCTACCGAACAGTCTAAAGTGGCTTTAGTGTTGACATTGCTGTCGGGACGGGCAGCTCTGTGGGGAACGGCGGTGTGGGAGAACCAACATCCTTGCTGCTCTTCGTTCCACAAACTCTCGGAGGAGATGAAACGGGTGTTTGATCGCACGGTAGCGGGTTGCGAGGCAGCACGCATGTTAGCCAATCCATGGCAGGAGAACAGACCCATCTCGGATTATTCCATCGAGTTCCGGACATTGGCAGCTGAGTGCAAGTGGAACGAGGAGGCGCAGTGGGACATGTTCCTGCATGGGTTGGCTGACCGGATTCAGAAGGAGATTTTTACGATGGAATTACCCACTGATCTTGATGGACTCATCGAATTAGCTTTTCGGGTAGATGCACGTCTACATCAACGTGATCAGCGAGGACGCCGCCAGCTGGCGTCGGAACTTCCTAAGTATTCCACTGCCAGTTCCTGTAATACGGTCAGTCACACATCTGATTATGAACCCATGCAGGTGGGAAGAGCTCGGCTTTCCCGGGAGGAGAGGGATCGTCGGAGAGCAAGGGGACTTTGCTTGTATTGCGGCGCTGCGGGTCACTTCCTAGCTGACTGTCAAGTAAAAGGCCAAGCCCGGCAGTAGAGCTGAGGCTACTGTCGGGTGGATTGTCCCTGGGAAAATCCTCGCCCACAACTCTCCTCCCGGTAAGACTGCAATGGGCAGCCAGAGTCCACAACTGCCAGGACCTGCTGGATTCCGGAGCAGAAGGTAACTTTATGGACTACAACTTGGCACAACACCTTCAGATTCCCATTGTTCCTCTCACCCATACAATCTCTGTCAACGCACTCAATGGACAGGCTCTTCCTAGCATCACACATACTATTGGGCCTGTCACCCTCATCACTTCAGGAAATCAAATTGAGAAACTCACACTTCTGCTCACTGAATCTCCACTGGCTCCTGTCGTTCTGGGCCACCCCTGGCTGGTGCATCACAATCCTAGGGTGGACTGGTGCCAGAATTCCATCTCGGCGTGGAGTGATCAGTGTTATGCTTCTTGTCTTATGTCTGCTTGTTCGTCTGTGTCTTGTTCATTGTTGCAGAATGAGCCGGTGAAACTGTCTAACATGCCCAAGGAGTACCTCGACCTGAAGGAAGTGTTCAGTAAGTCCCGGGCTGCTTCTCTTCCTCCACATCGTCCCTATGACTGTGCTATAGATCTAGTACCAGGTACGTCTCCACCTAAGGGCAGGTTATACTTGCTTTCTGCTCCAGAAAGGGAGGCCATGTACATTTCTGATTCTCTAGCAGCCGGGCTCATTCGTCCTTCCTCTTCTCCCGCGGGGGCAGGTTTTTTTTTTGTGGGAAGAAGGATGGTTCCCTGCGACCATGCATTGATTACCGAAGGTTGAACAACATCACGGTAAAGAATACTTACCCTTTGCCATTGATGTCTTCAGCCTTCGAGCGGTTGCAGGGAGCATCCATCTTCACCAAATTGGATTTGCGTAACGCTTATCATTTGGTCCGCATAAGGGAGGGGGATGAGTGGAAAACTGCGTTTAATACCCCCAGGGGGCACTTTGAATATCTGGTTATGCCCTTCGGGCTGTCCAACTCCCCCGCGGTTTTCCAAGCACTCGTTAATGACGTGCTGAGAGACATGGTCGATCAATTCATATATGTCTACCTGGACGACATATTGATATTTTCTTCTTCTCTCCAGGAACATGTTCAGCACGTCAGGTGGGTGCTCCAGAGGCTGCTCAAGAATGGGCTTTTTGTCAAGGCGGAGAAATGCACGTTCCATGCACAGTCAGTTCCATTTTTGGGATACATCTGTAACACATATACCTTTGTCTTTTGTGCAAATGCTACACGAAATGAGGGACCAAACAGACCAATCCTACTCATGAGTCAGGTGTATTAAATATAATTACCAAGCACATACAAATTCAATATGACACACAATTGAGAGTTCAACAGTTAGGACCAGAGCATAAAACAAGTCCAGTATCCCAAAACAGAGCCCCTGGCTTGTGATCACTTAGACCCATATACTTTGCTCAGTCTTTGTGGTAGAGGGTATAAAGTGAGAGCACAATCTTTGTTGAAACATGAAGTGCAAAAAAAACTGTACTTGAATGCCCAGATGATTCCCCAGCAAAGATCAACTAGCAAAGAGATATTTGAAGTCCAGCGTTGCTTTTAAGCAGTCAGCTCTCCTAGTTCCAGGCTTCTCAGATGTTTAAGCCACCAAATAATCCATATAGGCTCAGAACACAAACCCTCTGTAGACAAACATTTAAACAAACCATAACCATGTGCTACAAACACTTATTGTCAACAAAACAAAATACCATAAACAATTACTTACGGATGAGCTTAGAACTATAAAGTTCCTCAAACAGGGTACAAAGTCTCAAACCACCATGAGGTAAGCTTCTCCAAAGAAGATAGAGAATTAACTTCCTGCCATTACTCCTTCTTTGCTACCTTAAATAGGTAAATTCATGCATTACTTTACCAGAGCGCCCCATAATGCTCAGGTGAGTAGGGACAATAGTACTCAAAGAGGATTTCTGGTACATAAGTAACAGGGAAACTGTTACACATCGTCTCGTCCGAGGGAATGCAAATGGATCCCGATAAGGTTAAGGCTGTAGTGGATTGGCCAACCCCAGATTCCCGTAAGACCCTGCAGAGGTTTCTGGGGTTCGCCAATTTCTACCAGCGTTTTATTTGCAATTTCAGCCAACTAGCCACTCCTCTGACTGCCTTGACCTCCACCAGAACTACGTTCAGGTGGTCCAGTGCAGCTGAAACTGCATTTACCAAACTCAAGAGCCGTTTTGTTTCAGCTCCCATTCTCATAGCCCCTGATCCCACACGGCAGTTTGTGGTGGAGGTCGATGCGTCAGAGGTGGGGGTATGCGCGGTTATTTCCCAGCGCTCTTCCTCGGACGACAAGATGCACCCTTGCGCATTTTTTTCTCATCGTTTGTCTTCCGCTGAACGTAATTACGACATTGGTAACAGAGAGTTGCTGGCAGTCAAGTTAGTTTTGGAGGAATGGCGTCATTGGTTAGAGGGTTCGGGTGTACCCTTTATCGTCTGGACCGATCATAAGAACCTCGAGTATATTAGATCCGCTAAACGTCTTAATTCCAGGCAGGCTCGGGGGGCACTTTTTTTTCGGTCGTTTTGACTTTTCTCTTTCCTACCGTCCGGGTTCCAAGAACATCAAACCCGACTCCTTATCTCGTATATTTGATTTTTCCGAGCGCCCGTCTACTCCCCAGTGTATAATACGGTCGTTTTGACCATAGTGGACCGGTTTTCGAAGGCGGCCCATTTCATGCCAAACTGAGTGGGCCAACCAGGACCTTGAGAGAGTGTTGTGATGTTTAGTGGCACAGAATCCCTCCTCCTGGAGCCAGCAACTCTCATGGGTTGAGTACGCTCATAACTCGTTACCAGTGTCGTCAACGGGCC